CGCCGCCGATTCACCTTTTAAATTTTCCGCCATCTTTCCCCGCGACTAACGACATTCGGGTCCAGCCGGCCTCGCGAGAAGAGAGCGCCCGCGCGGGCGTGACCGACAGGGCACCGCCGATTGGCCACGCTGGGCAGCGAGCAGTGCCCGCCGGACCAACCGGTGAGCGTACCCGGTCCCCGCAGCCTTCTGGAGGGTTCCCGAAGGCGGGTGCTCCACGATGGCTTCCCAGAGTGCGTCGGGGTGACACCCGTAGCTGCGGTTACCCGAAGCCCTGCCCCAGATCTGCGAATCTGCCTGTCACGCCACTAGCCAATCACGCTGTCAACCGTCACAACCCGTCAGACCCGCCCCAATTACAGTCCAGGTCGCAGCTTTCATTTGCGACCTCAAGCCTGCTGCGATTCCTGCAAGGGAAACCCAGCACTTACTACCAACCCCACTGTTAGCCAGCCAGACCGCCCCTCTCCGGTGATGTCAATCGGCCTGTTACCCGGTTTACCCTACCCCCGAGACACAGGGAAATCATCTCATACCCACTCGGCAAGCCATCCAGTTTTGCCCTCAGACAGGCTGTCATTGTCATATAGTCCCTTCGCCCAGGGAGTTACGCAGGCTTAGCACTGAGCTAGTCTCCCAGAACCTCTATACTACCCGTCGTAGTGCAGCCGGTCTGTAATTTCTCAGCCTCCTCATCTACACCATTGACTAAGTCAGTCTCCTGGGATCCATTTGGTCTTCTCTGGAAGGCAGTGATCCGATCAGGGCAGAGAATCCATAACAATAGATAGGCATCAAGGGAAGCAGCTGTGCTAAATTTTCGGCTGGCCATGAAACCTGTGGTCCTTCAATTTGTCCCTCATCATATTGTCAGGCAGCCAGGTGGTCATCATCCTCAGAATCCAATTGACCACACTTATCTGTCAGAGAGTCAGTCAGTCACAGCATTCAACCAGGGCAGCTGGTACCAGACCAGGCCATCCTCTATTGTGCTGTCCCTAAGGTTGTCATGATTTAGAGCCAACCAAAAGGCACTAACAACATTAGGAAACCAAAGATTTGTTGGCCAGTCCAAAAACAAAAACAAAATGCTGCCATTGAGTTGATTTAACTCCCTTTTTTATACATCATCAGACTATAGCGTTTAGACATTCCCTCAGGCCTGTAACATCATGCCCTCCCAGGCCAGCAGCAACACCATTAGTCATCAATTGACCTGTAATTCTCTCAGGAGGCTGCCTGTCCTTCACACTAGCCCCAGCTAGGCCCAGGCCGACTGTAAGTCAGTCAGTTGTCTACTACCTCACAGCATCAGGAAACCACACTGTCAGTTCCTCAAACTACCCTGCTCCCTGTTGGTCCATGATTTGCACACTCAACCAAATGGTTTTACAGTTACCGGGACCGTTATTCTGTCTTCCTGCCAATCCAGCTGTGAGCTGGTTGGAGGAATGGCTGACCAGTTCTATTAACTCCTCCTTGCCATCAGTGGATCAGTCAAAAACGTGATCTCACCATACAGCCCTCTTCTCATATTTCATCTAGAAGAAGGACCATGCTGGTCCTTACCTGCCCTAGGCTCCGTGGGTGGACTGGGTCATCATACCTCTTCCACAAGTCCCAGAAACCCATCCAACCCTCGAAGGTGGTTTAAGGCATGAGCTCTTCTTGCCTGAATCTGGAGGAGAGTAATAGAGGTCTGTTAGTGGTGGGGAACTTCCTTGGCCCTCTTCAAACAGTCTAATGGAGCCGGTGCAGTCATGGATTGTGGAATCAGATTACCTACATTCAAATACTGGTTCCACCATGCACTAAACTGTATGCAGTTATACAAGTGAGCCCTCTGGACTAGTTAACTCTTTGGGACTAATACCTTTTCAGGAAACCTCAAAAGTAAGAAGTCGTCCTAAGATTCCTGTGTCCCACCCACAGCCATCTGTCTGTTTAGTGTTCATCTAGTGCCGCTCAGTGCTGAGGGTGAGCACTGGGCTGCTAACCACAAGGCTGGTGGCTTTGCCCTATTGGCTCAAAATTGGCTTGATGGTTGTGGGTTTAAGTTGCACAGGTTGGGCAGTTTAAAAATGAAAACTTGTGGTGAAGTAAGATAGATAGAGACAAATGCATAGACTATGGATGTGTTCTGTCATGAGTTTTCACAAATGAACACTCATGTGGAACCAGAAGGCAGATCAAGAAACAATGTAACCAGCCAGGACTCCAGAAATATTTAATTTTGCTGTTGTTGTGTTGTTAGCTACCATCGAGTTGGCTCCTAGTGGCGACAGAGTGAAACATTGCCAGGTCCTGCGCCATTCTCACAATTGTAGTTACATTGGAGCCCATTGTTGCATCCACTGTGCCAACCCATCTCATGGAGGGGCTTCCCCTCTACTTTTCCAAGCATGATGCTCTTTCCCAGAGACTTGTCTCTCCTGATAGCATGTCCAGAGTACATGTAATGGCTTCTTTTTTTTTTTTTTCGTAATCGCTTCTAAGAAGCAGTCTGGCTGTACTTCTTCCAAGACAAGTTTGTTTGTTTGTTTGTTTGTTTTTCTGGCAGTTCATAGTACTTTCAAAATTTTCCAAGAAGACCACATTTCAAATGCATCTGCTCTCTTGGGGTCTTTATTCATTGTTGAACTTTCACTTGTCTGTAAGGCAATTGAAAATATGATGGTTTGGGTCAAACACACCTTAGTCCTCAAAGTGACTAATTCTGTAACATCAGAGAAATCAGCCTGCTTCTTACAAGCACTACTAGGTCGCAGTTCACTTGACAGTACTTTTTTGTCTTTTTTAGTGATGTGTAAAATAATGTATTTTATAATCAGTGATGTCTGAGATTCCATAGTAATAGCAACAATAGTGCCAGCTAATCTTTAAAGATGCCCAGACACTTTGCTGACACCATCTACTTTGTTGACACAGCCTGGCAAGATAAGTGCTTTTATTTCTGTTTCGAAGACTGAGGAAGAAGTCAAGCCACTTGTCCATAATCAATTCTTTCCCCCCAAATCCCTGATTACTCTAGCCTGTGCTAAAGGGGATTCAGAAGTTGAGTGATGCCTTCCTATCCAAAGGTCAAGAAATGGCCCACAGCTCCCAGGCGAAGGGCGGTGTCTTGGAGCAGTGGATGGCTAGGGTTTCTGCAGACATGGGGAGGAGGTAAGTGAGCCCTGACAGTGCTCACCATGGGGGCGTGGCTGGCGAGAGTAGAAGTGAGACGATGAAAGAATTTTTAAAATGCGAGGAAACCGGAGACACACTCTCCCTCCTTCTCCAACTCTTGGGGTATTTCTCTGTACAGGGATGTGGGAAAAGTTTTAAGGGGCCAAGCCAACTCCCACTCCTGACAACTCGTCTCCAGTGCCCCCAGTGCCTAGATGGTTCCCTGCCTCAGTGGTTCAGAACTTCTCCCACTAGTCTGAAAAGCCTACCCTTTCTGGATTCCCCCCGACTCCCACCCCCACTACACACACACCTTTATCTTCCTGTCCCCTCTCCATCGCTCTAAGATACCTGAGTGCTTTCTTGAATCTACCAGATTTCAGAAATGGTTTGAATGTACAAGAGCTTTTCATTATATCCCTGTGTAAAACTTCAAATAGAGAGATGGTTTTGAGTTACTCTTTTTTTGGGGGGGTTGGCAGGGTGGTGTAAGTGGCAGGTGTCATGGAAGAGGAAGGAGGAACCAGTGGTAAAAAAATGTCTGTGGAGGTACTTTGGCAGGGGTCTGACTCAACTCAGGGATGCATATGGCAGCCAACTAAAAAGGAGGGGGAAAGAGGGGTGGGGGACGAGGGTGATTGGGGAACGCGGCACTAATACACCCATGGGGAGGGTATTGTTTATGTCTCCACAGGAAAGGGAGAGAGGGACCAGACCCCATCCCGGAGCACCAAGCCTTGAGGGCAACATACAGGCATGGAACAGCGAACTAACAGAGAGGTTGATGGAGTTGGGCCCAAGCCGAGCAATGCTGACCCCCTCCCCAGAAGAATGTAATACAGAGGCCAGCACTGAGGATATAGCCTAGGGAGAGTGGCAGTCTGTCCAGACTACACGGATACAAACTAAGAGGGAAAGAGAAAGAATAGCTCTCATCTTGGCCCACCAGGCCCTGGGGACCACATCCCTGCTCGGAGCAGCCAATTCACAGAGAGGACGGTAAGGTCGGGCCCCACTATGGGACACGACATTCCCTCACTGAACCTTAGTGCTATGAGGGACAACACTGGAGACACTGTGCAGAAAGTGTGCCCTGTCTTCCCCATGCACCACGGAGTGAAACTCGAGGAGAATGCAACAGGGCAGCAAGGGGAACAAAGTATCAAAGTCCCAGAGGAATCCTGAGAAGAAACCGCTGATGCGGGGGACAGGGCTTGGTGCGTCATCAGACCCGATAAGAAAGCACTCATAAGAGTCAGCAGACAGACCTGGAACTATCTATCGGGGTTGGTTTTTGTTTTTTTTCTTTCTCCTATGTCTATCTGTATAAGATAGGCAGGACAAACAATCCGAGGAGAAAACAACAGGACTGGCAGCCCCCTCCCCAGGGAGGGGCAGGGGAGAGGAGGAGGTGGGGAGGGGCAGCGGGGAGCCAACAAACTCAAGGATAAAGGAACAACAAGAGATCTAAAATTGATGGCTAGGAGGGCGTATAAAGTTTGATCAAGTGCAATGTATGTAGCAGAGAGGAATTGTTGGGATCCAAATGGAGGGTGAGCATGATAGTGGGACAAGAGGAAGGTGAAAGGAAATAGAGGAAGTAACTAGGAGGCAAAAGCTCTTTATAGAGGTATATAGCTATAGGCATGTATATATGTAACTATATTAATTTATAATGAAAGGGATAGAGGCCGATATACATATGGTAAGTATTAAGATAACAGATGGACTTTGGGCCTCTACTCAAGGCCTCCCTCAACACAAGAATACTTTGTTCTAATAACTTGGCACTCTTTGATACTCACCTTCCCAACATGATCGCTGAAAACAAAATGGGTACATGAGCAAATGTGGTGAAGAGAACTGATTGTGCCTGGTTAACAAAGGTTATAACTTCTGGGGTCTTAAAGGCTTAAAGTTAAACAAGCAGCCATCTAGCAGGGAAGCAACAAAGCCCACAGGGAAGAAGCACACCAGCCTGTGTGATCATGAGGTGTTGATGGGATCAGGCATCAGGTATCAAAAGATACAAAACAAACAATTATATCGATGTGAAAGAGGGGGGTTGGAGTGGAGACCCAAAGTCCATCTGTTGGTGATTGGACATCCCCCCACAGAAGGGTTACAAGGAAGGGACGATTCAACCAGGGTGCAGTCTAGCACTGACAAAACACACATCATTCCTCTGGTTCCTGAATGCTCCCCTCTGCCCCCACAGCTACCATGACCCAGTTCTACCTTACAAATCCAGCTAGACCGGAGTGTACACATCGGTACAGATAAGAGCTCTGGACACATGGAATTCAGGACAGATAAACCCCTCGGGGGTGGGGGGAAACCCCTTAGGAACAGTAGTGGGAATAGCAATATCATGAGGGTAGGGGGGTGGGGGTAGGGAGGAGAAAGAGGGAACCCATCACAAGGTTGGATATGTAGCCCCCAGGGAACAAATAACAGAAATGTGAGTGAAGGGAGACAATGGACAGTGTAAGACATGAAATAACAATAATAATATGTAATTGATCAAGGATTCATGAGGGTGGGAGGGGCAAAAAGAGCTGATACCAAGAGCTCAAGTAGAAAGAAGATGTTTTGGAAATGCTGATGGCAACATGTACAAGTGTGCTTAATACAATTGAGTGATGGGTTGTTAAAAGATTTATAAGAGTCCCCCAATAAAATGATTAATAAAAAAAAGTGTTAAAGGTCTGCGGAAAGAAAGGACAGGAGGAAGCCGAGAAATACGGACTAAATGGCTGAGTGAATAAATGAAGGTGTTTAAACAAATATACATTTATTCTCTCACAGTTTAGGAGACTAGAAGTCTAAATTAGGGTGCCAGCTCTACAGGAAGGTTTTCCCTCTGTGTCAGTTCTGGGGGGAGGTTATTGTCTCCTTTCCACATCTGTGGGCCCAGAGTTCTTCAGCGATCCCCATGTGTCTCCACATCAATCTTCTCTTGGTCTCGGAGGTGCTCAGTGCAGGGACCCTAGGTCCAAACAATGAGTTGTGCTTCTGGATCCTCTTTCTTTGATCTAATCTGACAGATTAGATCAAATAAAAATACAATTTTATTTATTTATTCAACATCATTTTATTGGGGGCTCTTACCGCTCTACAGATTGTGTCTTGCTTCATTAACACCGCTGCCTCTTAGCCTGCCTTATTACCATCATAGGGATAATTGCATCAGATCACACACACTCACACACACAAAAGGAAGACAATTACATAATACTGAGAATTCTGGCCCAGCTAAGTTGACACATATTTGTCAACACATATAACCGAAGGCATACATAGTGCATAAAAAGCTAGATAAATAGATATCAGGAACTCTGGGGAAGAGGAACCCCAAACTCCCACATTTGATATATAGGCAAACTAAGATTCAGAGAGACAAAAAGTGAATTACATTTATTTTTGTTTCAAAAATAAGCAAAGAGCTTTGAGGAATATCATACCAAAAAAGGCCCCGGTTATTGAAAGTGGAGGTCAGCCAGCAATAACAGTATAGGGGGAGGTTGATGGGCAAGAAACAGGACTTGCTTGGATACAGGGAAGAGAGCAGATGCCAGTGGGGATCAAGGCGCCACAGGGTGGGCTGTGGGGAAGCAAGCTGGGGGCGGAAGTTAGTCATCCCATTCATCATCTTCATCCTCATCACCAGCCTGGTCTTCCCCTTCATCTGGAGGGAAGAAGAGAGAAAAGGAAATGGAGCGGGAGCTTAGGATAGACCAGAGGGGTTCTAGGGTTAGAAAGGCCGGGCAAATGATTCTGGGATCTGGGGTCTCCTCTTAGGTGATCAGAGGTGGGACCTGTGCGGCTAGAGGAAGAAGGGGCCTGCTTCCTTTGAGGAGTGAGAGCCAGGGTCAGTTTGGGACAAGGTAGGGATTGTACCTGGTGATGGGGAAGGTCGGGGGAGAAAGGGGAAACTGATCACAATGACCTATCTATAACCCACTCCCAGAGGGATGGGCAACAGATAAGGTGAAGGGGTAAAGGGAGACATCGGACAGTCCAAGACATGGAAAACAAATTTTTAATTATCAAGGGTTCATGAGGGAGGGGGAGGGAGAGGGAAAAAATGAGGAGCTGATGCCAAGGGCTCAAGTAGGAAGAAAATGTTTTGAAAATGATGACAATGAATGTACAAATGTGCTTGACTGGATGGATGGATAGATTGTGATAAGAGTTGTACACGCCCCTAATAAAATGATTTAAAAAAATCAATATTATCACCAGAAGCTGGAGTTATTATTACACATTATGCATTCATGCACACAGTGTCATCCCCCCTGGGGCTAGTGTTACTAGTGACAGTGACTCTTGGGATTGCTTTTGTGCCATCACTAGCACTGGGAGGCTGGCGCCTGGTCCTGCCAAGGCCTACAGAGGACAGCCAGGGGTTGGGAAGGGCTAGGCTCTCACCCGAGGAGTGGATGGCTCGGCTTCTCTTCTGCATCACGTGCATCAGGGCCCCTACCAGCCCCTCGGAGCTCTGCGGTGGCGGCTGCAAAGCTGAGTTCTCTGCGACTGCAGGAGTCTGCGGCAGTCACAGCACACCGCGTTCAGGGCTTCCCAAAGGAGCATTATCCCGTCTCTCCATTACTTCTCCTCCCATGCACACCTTGATCGCCTTCAAGGTTCCAGACCACTTCATCCTGCCCCCACCCCAACCTCTTGCCTCTGCCACTGAACCCCAAAACTCAAAATCTGCGGAGTACACCCCGAAGCCCAGACCCTGATCCCTCCACTGGGACCATCCTTACCTTGTTCAGCTGAATTCCCTGCCGGATTTGATCCAAAAGTGCTCCCCGACCCCCACCAGGGGCTAGGCCACCCCCAGACCCCAGAGCTGGAGGGAGTGGGGGAGCAGCTGGTCCATCCCCAGAGCTTGGCGGTGGCGGTGGCGGTGGTGGTGGCGGCAGAGGCGGTCCCCCAGCTCCAGGGAGTGGGGGAGGCGGTAGTCCAGAACGTGCTGTGGCTGGGGGGGGTGGGGGTGGAGGGCCCCCTCGACCTGGAGGTGGGGGTCCCCGGGGTGTTGGTGGGGGTGGAGCACCCCCAGAAGGTACAGGAGGCAGTGGACCAGAACGACCTTTGTTACTCCCCATAATAGGAGGCCTGGGGGGCTGATTTCCTCCACGGGATGGGGGTGGCGGTGGTGGATGAGGTTCTGGTGTTGGAGAATAATGCAACGTTGTTATGATTATGGTCTCCCCCTCCATCTTCAGTTTTGCTCATTTGTAAAAGGGGAACCAACCCCACCAACCAACTCCCAGTTCAAGCGGGGGAGGGGTCTCCATGAGGACAGACGGCCTCAAGATAACTCCTAGGTACCAGCTGTCAGGGCTGGAGAAGAAAGGGTGCGTCGGAGGTAGAGATGCTCACCTTGGCGCCTCATCTCCTGCCGCACAGCCTCCAACCCGCCCTGGTCCTCAATGAAGTCATAGATGAGTTTGGAGGTCTCTGCATCCGTGAGCTGGGCCTCACTGATTCCTGCTCTGGAGAACAGGCTCCGGAGATCCGGGTCCAGGTTGTTCACCTGCCCAGGCGGAAAGAGGCCAGGGCAGAGATGGCGGGTGGTGGGATGAGGAGGGAGGGGTGAGAAGGGGCAGGGACCAGGGGCAGGTGGGGTGGGGTGGAGTTCTGAGCAGTGCTTTGGGGCAGGGCGGTGGGAGTTGAATTAGGTTCCGGAGACTTCAGGGTTACTTACGTCAAATCCATTTTGAGGGTCCCACCCCACGTGGCTGACATGTCTGGGGGAAGCGAGGAGACCCGGGTGAAGCCTGACTGCTCTCCTCTCCCTTCCTTTCTACAGATGCCCTCTAGCTCTCTCCTGCCCAGAGGGACTCTAGCGGCCAGAAGTAACGGGTAATTGAGGAGTGAATAAACACAATACGGGAGAGAAGGAATCCAAAGTCTGTGGTGCCCGTCTACCCAGCCAGTTCTCTTTCCCCCCATTTGTCCGCCTGTCCAATATTCACCCGTGGGAACACTGATCTAGCTATACATGTTTTCTCGGCACCCATCCCCCCCCCACTTGTTGACCCATTTGTCCACCAATGTGCCCTCGCACTTGTCAGTCCACCAATCTATCCACAGATCGGTCAACCCATCCATTCATCTACCCACCAGCCTACCATCTAAGGTAGAACTAACGTGAGGCAAGCAATGTGCCTAGGGTGCAAAATTAAAGAGGCGCTCACAACCAGAATCATTCATGGTGCTTTGCATGACTCTGAGGGAGACTCCTTCTTTAAAATGTGTGCCCTAGGCACCTTCCCTCCTCCTGCCTAGTCCCAGCCCTGTACCCACTCAACCATTGACTCATCTCTTCACCCTCCCATCCACCTATCTACCCATCCACCTGCCCATCCTTCCATCAGCTCATTCATCTGCTCGACTGTCCTGTCCACTGCCATCTGTGCCCATCCTGGGATCTACCGTCTTGGGTGAGGGGAGATTCTCACTTGAATCCACTTGGTGCTCCAATGTCGGCTTTTCTGATCTTCTTTTTCCCTGAGCGTTTCTTGTCAACTGGGCCAGGTCCTGGTGCTGGGAGCCCACGGTATCTTGAACTTGTGATATCTGGGTTCTGGATGTCTACTGTCACCAGCCCCAGGGACAGTGGGCCAGCTGGTGTGCCTGTGGGCAAAATAAGGTGACTCTTGACCCATTTACCTACCAACTAAAGCAGGACAAGAGGCAGGAAGGTGAAAACTAGGGAAAAGCCGTGTGTTTTCTTGATGGCCCCGTAGGGTTTGTGAAGTGGATAGATGCCACAAACTATTCACACATTCAGTGATTTGTTTGTGTGTTCACTTATTGATGCCTATCACTTAGTTATTATTGTTGTATTTTAAAATTATTAATTATTAATGCATCATTCACTGACTCATTAGCTCGTTAACTTATTTATGTACTTAATCATTCATTCAATCATCTCTTCCTTCACCGACTGAAATATTGTTACTTACTCATTCATCCATTAATTCAGTCATCCATCTGTCTATTCATCCATCTATGTACCACCTACTCACTCACTCACATTAATACCTCTATAGATCTGTGCTTTCTCTACCATCAGCCCATCTATCCAAGCACTCATCCGGATGCCCTCCACTCATCCATCCATTCCCATGTCCATACACACTTGCTTATCCAGCTACTCAGTCCATCCACTCACTCACATATTGACCTTTGCGTTCACGTAGCCATACACCCGCTGCTTCATCCATCCACCTACTGACCCACCCCTCTACCTTCCGCTCTCACCCAACAACTCTCCCACTCAGACACAAGGAAGGAGCTGTACTCACCCCCTAGGTCTCCACCTGGGTGTGGGGGCAGGGGTGGCAGCCCCCCTCGTCTCTCTGGGGAAATGGAATGGGTAGAGAGTGATCACATCCCTGTCACAGGTTCCTGACCTAATTGCTTACTACCTGAGTTGTTAATTGTGCCAACCTGGCCGATAATCACATGTGGGGCTGGTTGAAAGGCGGAGGGATAAATGGGTGGTGAAGCCTCGCCTTTCTAGTTCTCGGGTCTCTTGTTTTGTGATGGTAGCACCGGGTGCAGCTGCCTTAGCAGTTCCCTGCTTCAGCTCGCAAGATTGACTTCCTACAAGACATCCCCAAGGAGAAGCTACATGGACCTATCCCGATGCAGCCCTGGGTGCTGGAGCAGCCGTGTGGAGACCCCTGCTAATGCTGAGATGCTTGTTCGTTCACTGACTCAGCTTTCCTCCTGCAGTCGGCATCATTGCCTCTGTTCTGTGAGGTAGAGGACTTTGTGGACTGGTGTTGGGTTAATGGGTTAATGTTGGACTTGTGGGCTTGGGCAGCATTGGGTTGGGATGTTTTCGTGATGCACCTTTTCTTTACGTAAAACTCTCTCTTATACATGAGTCGCTGTGGATTTGTTTCTCCAAAGTACCTAGACTAATACACTACCCTTACTTGGACTAAAGGACTCACCCTCATGTGCTGGTGCTGGTGCTGGTGGTGGGGGTAGCTGGCGTCTGTCTGTGGAGAGACAGGTGGACTAGGAGTCAGAGGCGCCAGGGGAGGGGCTTTTCCAGCTCTCACCCTTAGACTTACCTCCCCCAGGGCCTCCTCACCTCCACTTTGCCTCTGATTGCTCTTCTGTATCTTCTCCTGCACCAGGGCCCGGAAGACCTGGGCCTCTCCCTCATCAGCAAAGTTAAGCCCCGCTTGGCAGTCCTGTACATACCTTGGGGTCAGCAGTCTTTCAGGACCCTGTCTACCCCCATCTCCTCCTCACACCCCAACTGAGGCCCAGGGATTGGGTGGTCACTTACATCTCCAGCGAAGGTATGGAAGAAGGGGGTAGGAGTGGAGTAGACCAGCTGTGAGTACAGCTCCTGTTCCCAGAGCATCCGGCCAGCCTGGAGAGGGGCAGGGTGGGCAACATACTGGCATTGAGGCTTTCCCTGCGACAGGGAGCGGAGTGCCCAGGTTTGGGGCCCTGGGATCTATTGTGGAATTTTTTCAGCTCAGTGTCAGAGTTGGGGGGTCCAGGTGTCAGATGTCTAAGGTACAGTAAGGAGTCAGACATATGCTGTATGATGTTCGGGCTTGGGGTTCAAGGCTCTTGATATAGGAGTTGGGGGGTGATTTGAGGGTTTAGGACTCAAACCCTAGGAAACAAGCTCATAGATTTGGCCCTGCACACATCCCACCATAATTGTTCTGTAGTGGATAAGTATTTAGATAAATATTTGGGAGCTGGGGGTCAAGATTTAAAGTCCAGGAATATAGAATTTGGAGCAGGGTTATGACTTAAGAATTTGGTCAATATTTGAGTACCTGGGATATTGATGTAGTTAGGCTGAGCCCATCTTGATGGATTAAGAACATGACATTTAAATTTAGTTTTTCCACCTGAAGAATCCAGGCTCAGGCTTTGTGGGATAGATTTGTTTATTTGGAGCTACTCCCGCATTAATATGCTTAGGAGTTTTAATATGGGAGTTCTGGGGTCTATGTTTGGTTAAAAGCTTTATTTGACAGAATTTGTCATATAAATAAACTAGAAATGAAAACCATATGATGATATTGAGGGACACAGAAAAGGCCTTTGACAAAAATGAAACTCCAGTTTTGATTTTTTACAAAAGCAACAATGTTCAGAAAACTGGGACTAGAAGGGAACATTCTCAATATGATAAAGAATATCGACGAAAAACCCCCAGCTAAACATAATACTGATTGGTGAAATTCGGGATAAAGAATATCGACAAAAAACCCCCAGCTAAACATAATACTGATTGGTGAAATCCTGAGATTCGGGATAAGGCAAACGATAGTCCCTCTTACAACTTCTACTTAACATTGTACAGGAAGTTCTTGCTAGTAAAATCAGGCAAGGAAAAAAAATGAAAACAGATTCGGGGGTTCGAGACTAAATGGGGGTATTCGGGTTTGTGGTTTGTGGAAGAGATTGATGAATTAGGAGGCAGGCAATATCTGAGATTTGAGAGTTTTGACAGCGGATTCTGGGAGGCACAATTCTAATTTTCAAATAGCTTTGTATAAATGCAGTGGCCATGATTTGAAGTTTGTGGAACAGATTAGACTTTGGCGGTGTACTAAATACAGTAAAGCCTACAAAAGTTGCAACTCGTGTAAGGTGGAAACCTGTTAGAGAAAGAAACCTAAAATATTAAAACTGAAAATATTTCCCCTATTGAAAGTGGTAAGACGGTGTCTTATCAAAGGCAGGGAACCTTGGAGACCCAGAAAAACAAGGCAGTTCTGTTGAGTTCTGGCCCTCACGGGTTTGGTTCACCATATAGGCGGGATTAGAGATTTTCATATGGGTCATTCTGGGTCACTCGGTGCAGATTTCAAACCAGGGTCTAGATGAAATGTTGGGCTCCAGGGTTGAGGGATTCAGGATCTGGTTGGAGGACTTGGGGTTATGGACAGAGATCTGGGCCCGCAGGCTGAGAATTGCTTTCCATGTTCAGCAGGGGTTGGGGGTCACCTGGAGGCCATAAAGTCGGATGAAGTAGGACTTCTGTGGGTTATCCTTCACGAAGCACACAGCCCCGACATACTCCTTGGTCCAGTGTTCGGCTCCAGGAGGCAGCGCCAGATACAGCTGAACAACTGCTGTGGCCAGAGTCTGGGGAAGGGAGAGCAGGGCTCAGTGGGGCTGGATCGGGGGTCAGAGGGTCTTGGAGCCACCTCTGGCCCTTCCTTGCCCAAGCAGAAGTGCATGCAAAGAGAAGGTGAGGCGAGCTTAAGGTCTTCCTGAGCTCGGTGAATGGTGGCGAATGGATTTTAGGAGGAGAGATGATGGAGAGAAAGAGGAGGGGGAAGAAAGAGAAGAAGGACGGGGGTAGGGGGTGGGGGAGGGAAACAGAGAGGACCAGGAGGTCCCCATCTCACCCAGCATTTCCGTCCAAGCATCTCGAAGATTCGCTGGTTCTCTTGGTCCTTAAGGAGGGTGGAAGGTATGTTCTGATGAACCCCTGGACCTCTGCGGCCCCTGGGCCTGCCTCCCGCAGAGCCCCCACTCATAGTGCCTTCTGCCCTTGTCCTCTAGAGCCAGGCTCTGGGTGCAGGGTAAGAAGAGGAACTTCCGCAGTGAGTAAGGGAACAGGAAGTGTAAAGAAACCACAAGGGAAACAAGTCCTCCAAGGGCCCCTCGGTGGGCCTCGCCTCCTCCTCCCTTGGACAGGCTTAGACTCTCCTCCTTCAGACCAGCCTGGCTGAGCCCACTTCCATTTGGCTGGTTAGGCCTATCTCACTTTGCCTAGCTTGGGTCCTGTTTTTCCTTTCTGACTGTCTGGGGATCCATCTCCTGACCAGCTGGGGTCCTCTTCACGCTGATTGGCTGGGATCTCTAAGCCGCCTGCACCAGTGTGTTCCTGTGGTGAAAGTTAAGCCACCAACAGCACTTCAGCAGGGCTCACTGGAGTGAGAAGCAGTCCTGGGCTGCATGGACATCTTCCTCCCCCAAAGTATCCAGTTAGCCTGGGTCAAGGTCAAAAGCTTCCAGTCCTGAAATGTTACTGCACCAAGACGTGTCCTTTTCTTTACGTAGGAAGCAGTTACAATCCCACTGGCCAAGCTGAGAACCCGGATATCACTAATAATGCACACCCCTCTGGGTCACTTCCCTATCCTGTACTCTTGCCTCCACTCCCAAATTACTTTCTACTTATCACTCTCATCTGAGAGAAAGGAATTTTATAACATATATGAGGATAAATCTAAAAATATTACTATAAAATCATAGATACGTTTATTAATCAAGAATATCGAAATGTGAAGCTATTATTTCCCAACATATGCTCCATGTAGGTCTATCCACTTCTGACAGTGGTATTTTCATTGCTTTAAATCCTCTATGCTCTTAGATTTACACCATACCAAAACTGCTGTCCTCACAACACTCAAATTGTGTTTCTTTGACATTTTTTTTCTTTGAGTTCAGGGTACAAAAAGAAGTATTGGGGTCTTAAAGGCTTGAAGGTAATCAAGCGGCCATCAAGCTCAGAAGCAACAAAGCCCACATGGAAGAAGCACACCAGCCTATCCAACCACGAGGTGTCGAAGGGATCAGGTGTAAGGCATCATCAGAACAAAAAATCTTACCATAGTGAATGATGGGGGCAGTGCGGAGTGGAGATCCAAAGCCCATTAGTAGGCCACTGGAGATCCCCTTGCAGAGGGGTCTCGGGGAGGAGATGAGCCAGTCAGGGTGCGATGTAACAACGATGAGAAATACAACCTTCCTCTAGTTCCTAAAGGTTTCCTCCCCGCTCCCACTACCATGACTCGAATTCTATCTTGCAAGACTGGCTAGACCAGAGGGGGTACACTGGTACAGATAGGAACTGAAAATACAGGGAATCCAGGACGGATGAGCCCTATAGGACCAGTGGTGTGAGTGGCGAAACAGGGAGGGTAAAGGGAGAATGGGTAGGGAAGAGGGAACCGATTACATGGAACTGTGTGTGACCTCCTCCCTGGGGGACAGACAACCAAAAAGTGGATGAAGGGAGACGTCGGACAGGGCAAGATATGACAAAATACCCATTTATAAACTATCAAGGGCTCATGTGGGAGGGGGGAGCGGGGAGGGAGGGGAAAAATGAGGACCTAATGTCGGGGGTTTCAATGGAGAGAAAATGTTTTGAGAAACTATGTACAAATGCGCTTTACACAATCGATGTGTGTATGGATTGGGATAACAGTTGTATGAGCCCCTAATAAAATGTTTATAAATAAATAAATAAATAAAGATTAAAAAAAACAAAACAAAACAAAAAAAAAAACCACATTGTAAAAAAAATAAGAAAAGAAAAGAAAAGGCAAGATCCAGGCTGTCGAGTGGATGGGCTACAGTTACCCAACAAAGATCCCCTAGGCTAGCCCTTGCTGCTGTCTAAGAATGAGCTGGTGCATTGTCGTGGCGGGGGCGGGGGGTGGGGGAGTCCTGGCCTTTTCCTCAACAATTCAGTTTTCAATTTTCTTAAAACTTTTCAAAGGGACCAGACCTCAACCTGGTGCACCAAGACTTGAAGGCAACATACCGGCATGGAGCACTAAGCTAACAGCGAGGTCTGCAGGGCAAGCCCCCATCCCAGCTCTGTGGACCCCCTCAACAGAAGAGTGCACTACGGAGGACAGCACTAAAGATACAGCTCAGGGGAGAGGGGTGGGTCTGCTCAGAATGCACAGGAGCAAAGTAAAAGGGAAAAGAAAGAGAGAAGAAAACCCCATCCTGGCCCACCAAGCCCCAAGGACGGTAAGGATGATATTCCTGCTCAGAGCAGCCAATGCACATAGAGGATCCGGCCCCACCACGAGACATGGTGGGCCCTCACTGACCCACAGAGCTACGGGGACAACAATGGAGACACAGTGCGGGAACTCGGCACAGTCTGACCTCCACCACACACACACCAGGGCGAAACACAAAGGGAGCACAACAGAGCAGCAATGGGAGCAAAGCAATGAAGTCCCCAAGGAATCTAAAAATATACTTTGGGGCAGGGCTTGGTACCTCATCAGACTCAATTGGAAAACATTCATAAAAGTCAACAGACAGACCTGGAACTATTTATAGCCTTCAAAAAAAAGTCGAATTCTATAAGATAGACAGAATAAACAATCCCCAGGAGAAAACAATGGGACCGACCATTGGGGGGTGGGGGAGAGATCTGGGAGAGGGGCAGGTGGCAGAAAGGAAGTGGGGAGTCAACCACCAGGGACAAGGGAACAATAAGGGATCTAAAATCGATGGTGAGGAGGGTATAGAATATTTGGTGGGGTTTGATCAAGTGCAATGTAGCCAAGAGGAATTACTGAAAACCAAATGAAGGCCATACATGGAAGTGGAACAAGAGGAAAGTAAAAGGAAAGAACTAGGAAGCAAAAGACATTTATAAGGGTATGATTATAGGCATGTACATTTGTAAATATATTTATATATGACAATAGGGACATAGATCTATGTACATATATTTATATGTTAAGTATTAAGGTAACAGATGGACATTGGGCCTCTACTCAAGTCCTCCCTCAATGCAAGAATACTTTGTTTTAAAAACCTGGAATTCTGTGATGCTCACAAATCGCTGAGGACAAAATGGGTGCATAAGCAAATGTGGTGAAGAAAGCTGATGGTGCAC